GTGGCGGTTCTGAAAGCTGGGAGGGAATGGTGGGGGGGGGGGGGGGGATGGAGAAGAGAAAACAGCTGAAGAAAGGGACGCTTGATCTCCCGGGATCGCGCCCCAGTGGGCTCCTGATCAGACCCTGGGGAGAATACTGGAGTTTGAGACTTGGTGAAGGCCATCGCCAGTCACAGACTGGCCACTAGATGGAGCACATGGGGGCATCTGGGAGCGCCTGCAAGGCTCCAGAAAGCTGAACCAGCGCACGCAGGAACCACAGTCCACAGAAGCCACCTCAGCACTTGAAGTCCTAACCTCACCAGCTGGACTGCCTGCCATTAAAGAAACGGAAGTCAGAGTGAAAGACCTGTCCTGCGAGGTGATAGCATTGCTTTGCATGTCTGTGGTGGTGGTTCCGTGAAATGATCCGTGTGTTAAACACATAGAACTGAACAGCACCACAAAGTTGCACCGTATGTAAGATTCGAGAAGTAGCAAAAAGAACAAGAAAAACGTTTGAATCTTTTCACTCTAAGCGTATGTGGTTTATTTTATCCCAATTACACCTCAGTCGACCTTGAGAAAGGAAGGGAGGGAGGGAAAATTTGAGGAGAGGCCAATGTTCCCACTCACCAACCCTGCATAAATTCAGGGCTCACTGGGGTCCCAATCCCAGAAGAAGGCTCAGCTTCACACATGGACACAAACAGAAGTATAGGAACTTAAGACAGGCCCCCAGGTAGGCCACCTTGATGTGAAGATTATTCGGAGGTAAAGGCACTCAAGACCCTGTGGGCTCCAGAGAAACTTTTGTCCCTCACTAATGACATAAAGAATCTCAATTGGAGGATCTTTGCAGAATAAGGGTTATTACGAAGGACAAGTGTTATCTGAGTAACGCAGCTGCATGGCAGGGCCAACATCTGTGCACCAAACACTTACTTTCTGGTTTCATCTTCCTGTGAATTGTGTTTCTTCCCTTAGAAATCTCAGACTCCTTCCCCCTTCTCCTTCATTCACCATGACATTTTTACCTCTTTTTGCCTGACTGCCATGTCTGTGTGGACTCCCTGCACGTATGCTATTAGATGCGATTTTCTCTTGTTAATCTGTCTCATGTCAATTTGATTCTTAGTCCAACCAGAAGGACCTTGAAGGGGACAGGAATTCTTTTTTTTTTAATTTTCATTTTTTATGTTTATTTTTGAGAGAGAGAGAGAGAGAGACAGAGGTGAGTGGGAGAGGGGCAGAGAGAGACGGAGACACAGAATCCGAAGCAGGTTCCGGGCTCTGAGCTATCAGCAGAGAGCCTGATACAGGGCTCGAACCCACAAACTGTGAGATCATGACGTGAGCCAAAGTCGGGTGCCCAACCGACTGAGTCACCCAGGGGCCCCAGGGACAGGAATTCTTGTTCTGCATCCCCCCCACCCCCACCCTGGGCTGGCCAGCCACACCCTCTCCTACTCCTCTGGCAAAGCCCTGGGCTGCTCCAGAGCCCCCCAACCCCCACCAAGCCCCCGACCCCTGCAAGGCAATCTGAGGGTGGCAGGTGGCAGGGAGAAGACCCCATCCTCTTTGTCTATGGAAGACTAGTGTGGTGGGGGGCAGGTGGAGAGGAAGCCCCAGGCCCACGGGCCACATGTTGGGACAGATTGACTTTAGGAGTGCAGATGACAAGAAATGGCATTTGGAGCACATCTGAGCCGCTAACAGGGTGGACAGCTGTACAAAGGGGGCAATAACCAATGGAGGTGGGGAGCGGGGCTGGGAGATGAGGTACAGGAAGTAGGTGTGCACGGACTGGAGGTGGTGCTAGGGAGGGGAGGGGCAGAGCTCTCCCCAGAGAGAAGGTCCTCAGGGTCACCCTCCAGGGGGTGCCGAGTTGAGCAGCCAGAGCAAGGAGAGGGGACACCACATCACTTCACCCATAAGCTCCCAACGGACAGCACTACTTTGCAATTGATGAATGAAATTAGGAAGTAACTGAAGAAAAATTATTAAGAAAAGTAGATGAGAGAAACGAAAACGAATATTTTAGAGAAATAGAAGGCAGTTTGACTCTGAGCTCTGTTCCAGTCCCCAGAGGGCAGCTGGCATTTGCTGAGCACCAGGGAGACAACCAAGCAGGACATGTGGCTGCTCCCGGTTCTGTTCCTTCTTGTCATCCAGGGTGAGTGAGGCGGGGCTCTAGGATCGAGCACCTGCAGGGTGGAGGAGGGCAACACAGACAGGGTCTGCATGGGAGGAAGTGGCAGAGCCTTTCATTCATCCAGACACTTATTCATTTAAAAAATTTTTTTAATGTTTTGTTACCTGACAGGTACTAAGTTAGGTGTTGGGGAAGGAAATAAAAATAAATAGCACAAATGGTGTCCGTTTTCTAGGGCACAGTTTGTCAACTTGTGGTAGATAGATCCTAAGACAGATGATGGATGGGTGGACGGATGGATGGATGGATGGATGGACAGATGAATAGATGATAGATAGTTGCATACACGCACACATATATGCACACACACATAAATGCATGAATTCCTGAGGAACTCTGAAGAAGCCAGATGCTCGGGCTCCAGCAGAAAGCCACTCAGTTAAGGTGGAGATCAGGCATCTGGATCATTTAAGCCTGTACATTGGTCTTGAACTATAGCTTGAGCCAGGATCCTTTTTTCCGAAGACCTCAGACAACAGAGAGGAAGGCAAGCAGCAAAACCAGGGTGACAGGCTCTCTGGAGAGTTGCTCATCCCCACACACCAGCCTGCCTGGGTCTCTGCTCTGGATGACCTAAAGACAGATCATCATCTAGTGTCCTTAGCATGATACCTGAGACAGGGACTAAGTGGTCTGGTGGCGCCAGCAGCGACCAAGTTGGCTACAGAAAGGGAGAAACTGTTTGAGCTGAGCCTTGAAGGATGAATATAAGAGTTTGATTCCTTCAAGCAAAGAAGAAAGCACATTCCTGGTAGAGGGAAGAGCTTGTACAAAGGTATGAAGACACAGAAGAACAAGGTGTATACGTAAAAAAAAAAAAAAAAAAAAAAAGAAAAGAAAACAACAACAACAACAAAACAAGCAATCACCTG